AATCCACTATCCAAGAATCACTGTTCAATTCAGCTGTCATGCTCTCGCAAACAAAGACTTCCTCTTGTGGTTTCTTTTGCTTCTTAGGACAGTTTTTACGGAAATGTCCTTTTTCCCCGCAGTTATGACATTTATAGAATGTTCTTCCTTTTCCTTTTTCGTTAGACTTCCAATCAGTTGATTGTTTTGACTGTACTTTCTTACTGTCGCTGGTATTACTTCTAGTGTCGCCACGATCATACTTCTTGCTTGTCTTACTGGCCAACAGCGCTGCTATCTGTTCTTCCTTACCGGCTCGATTCTTCCGACGTGCATCGTCAGAGGTTAGTACCTCTAGTAACTTTCCGAATGTTTGTTGATCTTCAGCCCTTGCCCACCATGCTTGACGAAGACTCTCGTACTCTTCCGGTAGCGTGTCCAGAAGTTTGACTACCAATGATGACTCATCTGATTTTACATTCAGTTGCTGCATGCGCAAAACAAGACCTCGAACTTAGAAATATGGGTCATCATATCATCAAACGAATTCATGGCAAAGTTAAAAAATTCTGATTGAACAGTTGCGACGCTTGCTTTGTTTGCTGTTCATAGATTGCATGCAATTTTAGCCACATATCCCGCGCTGTATCACACGAAACCAGAAGTGCCATTACCTTTGTGTCTAGTGTTTTTACGATAATTTGACTTGCAGCACGATCGGCTTTGTTCTAGATTTTAAGATTTTCTCGATACTGAGTTTGCTGTTCGTTCGTTGCATTTTCAAGCAGTGGTATCGGCTTCTTAATTTCCCCGATGCTTAATTCATATGCGCCTTCAGTTCCGCGTAGTAAATTCTTTATTGCAAACTTCCAAACGTTTCAATTTTTAGCGCCTCGTAATTTCTCGATTCCGTGATATTGATATTCCATATTTAGATCGTTCTTGAACTAATAATCCGTAATCAATGTCTTCCACCGATACGATGTGTTTCTCTTCACGAATTGGTTATACTTTCCACGTAACTGCGAGGGCCACACTAACCACGGACCTCTGCTACCATGTTGTAATATTTAGAGGGCAAAGTGAAAGAACATGAATACGTCAATATATTGCCACAAGATATATATTTCCTTATACGCATTACAACAATCGAAACGAACGACTCGAACGAAGAATGAATAATGGCGGTAACAGTAAGTTTTAGCAGTGAGTATAAAGAATTACATAGAGAGGAAATCAAGTCAAAAGGACACACACATGTAGTGCCAACTGAAGAGAAAAAGAAAATGAACAGGTT